TTGGAAAAATATAGAATTCTATTTTCTTATATTTTTGTACTATAAATTGCTTTAGAAATAGTCTTTTTTTGAGAAAGATTGAAGGGTTCACGATAATCCCACTTAAAATCTCACCTCTTTTGGAAAGGATTTTTTTGTGATTTTTTTTATTTTATATTTTTTGAAAGAAAAAAGAGATGGAAAAATATTCAGGTCCCAACTAACTCAAAAAATACTCAAGGGGTCTACCCAAGAGCTATCCTTTGAGCTAGCTAGTGCTAAATGGTACAATGCACCCAAGGGATGGAAATATATACCATTTAGTTCCCTCCTCCTCCCTCCCATATATTATTAAATCTAGTAAAACTGACGGTACTTCAGACTTACCAGAATACATCAAAATCAAATAGTCTGCCTATTACATAAAAAGGCTACTATCTCACCCTTACATATGGTATAGACTGTTGATCTAGAAGGATTAGGCCCTTGGTGAAACTAGGAAGAGATCCAAGGACCTCATATTGCTCAGAAAGTTCTTCCAAAGCTGCCTTAGCTAAACTATCTACAACTGCATTTGCCTCTCTGAAAATGTGATGAATTTCATACCCCCACATCTCCATTAAAGCATGAACTTCTTCCAACTCATTATAAAAATTCCAAGGATAGTCAAAAGATTTGCCAAGACTTGGTTATCCGTTTGAATTTCCAAATGCGACCGAGCAAGATTTGCACATTTCCTGGTTCCAAAAAGTAAACCATATACCTCCGCCTGAAAACTATCTCCTCCACCATGAAAACCGGATTCCCCACAAAAAAACAAACCCTTGTTACCTTAGATTACAAAACCATAGCCTGAAGAATGATTTTTGGACGAGCCATCTATGTTAAGGACAAAATTCCTTTTCTGCTCCCAAGAGACTGAGAGAATCTTCCTTTCTTTCACCCGAAAGTTAGTCCGTGGAAAGTGTTGTTGAAGCAAAGAGTTTTCAGTTGCGTTCCTAGCTGAGAGCACATTAACAAGTATCATGTTATGTATATGCTATCTGACCTCTTGAATGATGCTTTGCGCATTCACCTCAATGCCTTCAAATAAATACTTGTTTCATGCTTTCCACAATTCCCATATTATAAAGGATGACAGAACTTTTTTGATCACTCCAATGGCCGTCTTGAAACTGCCCGACTTCCACCAAGACTGTAGTACCGATTCAAATCCTTCTCCATGTACACTAGGAATTCCAAAAAGGTTAGAGAAATGTCCCCAAACTTCTCGCGCAAAGTCACAAGCTAGGAAATGATGTATCATAGTATCCGAAGCTGCCTTGCATTTGAAACAAATAGATGGTTGCAAAAAAAAAAAACCCATTTTGCTTAGAGATTCAGGAAAAGGAAGCAAAGAGTTACCAAATTTTCACATGAAAAAAGATATTCTCAAAGGAATGTGTTTGTGCCAAATATTCCGCAGCACAGGGTTTTCTGGTTGCCTTCTCCTTATTACCTCATAGGCCGACTTGATTGTGAAATTCCCCAAAGAAGTTGGCTTCCAAATAAATCTATCCTCCCCATCAATGAAAAAGATCTTCATTAAATCTAGCTCCCGAATCACATTATGAGAGGCTATTTTGAAACTTGCGTAGGTAGTATTGCTTCCGGGAAAAGAAATCTCTAATTGTTGTTGATGGTGAAGGAGGTAGAGCACCTTGAATATCCAAAAGCCAACCTAGACTTGACCAATGATCAAACCAAAAGCTTCGATCACCGCTTCTTACCAAGACTTTCAAATGGCTTGTTGCAATGACATCAATCTTTTCAAATCTCTTTCCAAGATGTTTTATTTATCGCAGCTCGTGACAAAGAAAGAATGAACTTCGCCCATATGCCTTGCCTATGCTTCAACTTCCACCAAATTTTGAAAGAGAAAGACTCCACTACATCATGAAAATCTCGCAAACCAACCCCATTTTCCAGAACCGGAAAGGTGAGCCTACTCCATGATCTCCAATGCCTTCTTCCATCTCCTTCAACACCTTCCCAAAGGAACTTTTGACATGTTTGTGCTATTTCATTGAGTATTGATTTTGGAGGCTCGATTGCAGCAAAGACATGAATTGGAATGGCCGATAGCACATGCTTGATAAGTGCAAGACGTCCACCTTGGCTGAGAAACTTGTTCTTCCAATTTGATAATTTCGAAACAAGGGCATCAAGAATAAACTGAAAAGTTGCGGTCTTCTTCCTACCTTGATAAAACCGACAACCAAGGTAGACAAATGGAAAAGACCCTTTCTGCATACCCAAACATCTCTTAACACTTTCTATCCGAGAAGAGGGACATTTACCATCCACATAGAATTTACTTTTGCCTCTATTTATTTTCTTCCCGGAAGCAATTTCATACTCCTCAATAAATGCATTCAATTCTCTCATAGAAAACTGCAAGCCACGGGTGAAAACAATTAAATCATCTGCAAAACATAGATGAGAGACATAATTTGAACCTGTAGGAGTGCCAAAACGAGCAATTTGTTTATTCTCCATCAAGAAATTAAGCCTTCGTGACATTGCTTCAGAGACAAGTATGAACAAAAAGGGCGATAAAGGATCCCCTAGCTTGATAACTCTACTTGCTTTGAAGAATCCTGTGGGGTTACCATTCACCAAAATAAAAAACCAACTGTTTTGAAGGTTATTCATAAATCAAAGAAATGAAATGCTAGGGAAAATAGAACCTTTGCAAGATCGCGCTCAAAAAGGTCCATGAAACACAATCAAAGGCTTTCATCATATCTATCTTCAAAATCAGATTATGACCCACAGCTTTATGATTTAGGAACTGGCATAAGTCCTGAGTGAGCATAATATTATCATTGATATCTCTCCTAGCTAAAAACGCCGATTGCTCTTCTGAAATAAGTTGCGGAAAAATCTTTTTCAATCTTTCAGTAAGGATTTTTGTAAAAACCTTATTTACGAAGTTGCAAAGGCTAATCGAGCGAAGATCCGAGAAGGTTGCTATTGAGGTCTTCTTGGGTATAAGAGTAACAAGAGTACTACCTATTGCTCTTGGGATAGGAATCCCTAGCATAAACTCTTTACAAGCATTTAGAAGATCGGAAGCTATAATATCCCAACAAGCTCTATAAAAAGATCCCCCATAACCATCCGAGCATGGAGCACTATTTGGATCAAGAGTATCAACCGCTTTTTTCACCTCCTCCATTGTTAATTCCTTCAAAATTAAAGCCTAATCTTCATGAGATAAAATGGAAGGAATATGCTGCAAAAACCTTTCTTGAATATCAACCCTAGGCATTGTGTTTTCCTCAGTTAGGAGCTGCTCAAAGAACTTAACACCTTGGTCTTCTATGGCTTTCCTTTCCGTTAACCTAACATCTTCTTCAGTTTGTATTTTATATATGCCCATTTTTGCTTTCTTTTCCAATAGAGAGGCATGAAAATAAGATGTGTTGCAATTACCTTCTTTTAACCACTTAAGCTTCATTTTTTGTCTCAAAAAATCCTCATTTTCTTTAAGCTTAAGTAGCAAATGTGCTTGAGCAAAATGGAGCTGGATTTTATCATCTTTTGATTTGGAATTATCATACCGCATTTCCAACTCTTGGACCTCCTTTTTGGATTTTATCATCTTCTGATTTGGAATTATCATACTGTATTTCCAACTCTTAGACCTCCTTTTTAGCAGCTTTCAAATTATCAAAAACATCTCCAAAAGCCACTTTATTCCATTCCTTTAGCTTCAACTTCAAACGTCTATTCTTCAAAGAAAACCATAACATACCAAAACCCTCAACAGGCAGTTCCCAGTTCTCTTTCGCCATGGCCATAAACTCATCCCGTCTTAGCCACATATTTTGAAAACAAAAGCTTCTTGGCTTTCCAAGTTTGTGTCAAATTGGTGTAACATAGGGCTGTGGTCCGATGTAGTTCTATTCAAGTTTTCAACTGAAGCTTTAGGAAACATAGAAAGCCATTCCATTGAAAACAAAATCCGATCTAGCTTTTTACTCACCCATCATGTACTTCTTGTTCCTCCCCAAGTAAACTCTTCCCCAAACATTAACAATTCTGTTAATGAAGATTTTTCAATAAAATCATTAAAATCCTTCATTGTAGCATGATCCTGAACCGAAATTCCAGAATATTCATCAAGAGTTCTTATCACATTAAAATCCCCCCCTACCATCCAAGGGACATTTGGATTTTGTTGCCGGAAAGAGAGCATGGCAGCCCACAATTCTTGTTGAGCAGCCTTAGTAGACTTAGCATATACCGCCGGAATGCAAACCCTTGAGCCACCCAATTGATGTACCACCTCAAAGTGTAAAACTTGTTCTGAACCTCCAAGAAAGTTAACGTGTACATCTTTTTTGCTCAAGACCCAAATCTTGCATGTGGAAAAAGGGAATGCAGCATCAAAATGAAGTAGAGACTTGATTCCATCTATCTTATGACTTGGAAACATAGGATCCAAGAGAATCAAAAACGAAACCTTGTACATTCTAACCAAAGATTTTACCCGCTACATGGACGCTTTATTTTTAGCTTCACGTATATTCCATGATGTGACTAATCATGATGAAACTTTATTAATGGTAACCCAAAAATTCTTATTGTAAACAAGCAGAGTGGTGAAGCTCTACCCCCTCAGTTAGTTTAGCTCTCTCTTTGGATTTTCTCCCCCGTTTTCTTTTCACAGTGATTTCTCTGGTCTCTGCTCGTTCCACATGCACATGCGAGGCATCTTTTTCTCCCTCTGACCAGCATAACTCTTCTGATGCTTCATCTTCCTCATCATCCTCAGTATTTTTGTCAAAAGAATCACCGAGAAATTTATTCGTTCCCAGCTGAGGCGAGGAAGCCATATTGCGCAAAGCATCTTCAATAACTTCTCTAGTTTGCTATTGTTCATCAACATTCCTTTTAGTGGAAGCGTTTTCCTCATCATCAGTACCATTAACCAGATTAAGTTCATTCTCATGCAAGTCTTGGAGGGCTGAAAATCAGTTAGACACTATTTCAGTAACTGCAACTTTGTCCATCTTAACAACTTCAACACAAACTGGATGTTCTACCTCAAGTTGCTCAGTTCTAGAGTCTGAGCTATCCGGAATATCCACCGGAATCGATGCCTTCTCCTTAATGGACAATCCAGATGACGATTCCAACAACCACGGTTCAATCACAGGCGGCTGCAACTCAATAGTATGGGGTTGCGATTCAAAGTTCCACGCTGCTAGGGTTTCCTCCGCAGGGTGTGGTTCCACACTTGGCAATGCTAGGGTTTCAGCCTCTGGGAGACTTTGCTGCTTCGAGGGTTGCTTCTCAGTGGCTTTAACAATCAAAGGGTAGTCCTTCACTATTTCCACTTGCAGATTTGGAGATTTGGATTTTCCCTCACTACCTTTAAATAACCATTTAGGTTTTGTTTGTGCAATTTTGAGGCCTTTTTTCTTATGAACCGGATCATCATGCTTCTCCTCATGTTTTTTGCCGTCATCTTTCTTACGCGGTGGATGTTTTTCTTGCCTGCAATCTTCATCTTTATGACCAATCTTGCAGCACTTCAAACAATATGACGGGACATGCTCAAAGGTGAACAATTGTTCATGTTTTCACCCTTTTTTGCCAATCTTCACGGATTTTGGGAGCTCCTTGGTGAGATCAACTTTAACGCAAAATTGAGCCACAGATGGTCGTGTCATATTCAAGGTAGGGGTGTCCACCTTCAAAGGCTTCCCAAGTGTGGTTGCCATGGAGAAAATTACTTCCGGGTGCATATACTCAATTGGAAAATCAGAAAGGGAAACCCATATTGGAACCACCGGTGGATCTTCCTCAAAGCAAAAACCCAGTTTCCACTTCAATATCCTCATTGAAAAACCTCCAATGTTCCACAATGTCCTTATCCAACATCTCTGGTAATCATCTTCTTGATCAAATCGAATCAATACATGCCTAGGGTTCATTAGACCCAATGTGTATCCTCCATTGAATCTGATTTTTTTGAACTCTTGGTAGACCTCCTCCATTTTTGGGCGGCCATAGGAAAATTTCCCCACCAAACACAATCTATGTGGAGCAACCAACTTCTCAAACTCATCATCTTCATACTCCAAAGTGGGAGTACCATTCAAATTTCACTTGCTCAATATGTGAATCTTTGTTCGTTTCAATGTCGGGAGGCTTTTGGAAAAAGCTAGCAAACGTCCGCGGCGGAGGCGGAGCTGCCAGCTGATGAACACCGGGCTTTTTGGCCGTGGTAGGTGGTAGGTGGCCGCCAACAGTAGGGTTTGGCTAGAGAGAAAAAGGGGCAAAAATAGTTTAGTTTTATATTCTTGTGGATAAGGTTTTGTGATTTATTAACACATATTTGAAAATAATATTTTCATGTAAATATTAGAACGTCATAACTCGTATAAAATCATAAATTTTAGTAAGTTACATTACTAGTTAAGTTTTCTAATCAATTTTGGAAATTAATAACTTAGATTATATTTATATTCTAAATTAATGAAATTATTTTTGGATACTTGGAACTTTATAAAGTAAATATAAAACTTAACAAATATCTTTTTTTTTTATTTATTTTTTTTAGGAGAATCCAGGGCGGTACCTGGCAGGAGGACCCCGATTTTATTAATTGAAAGCAAAAGTTACATAAGGCAGTGCTTAAGACTTACCCAAACAAAAAAGAACCGTCTTACAAAGTTTTCTAGTAAAACCCCTAACGATTCTTGTGCAATTACACTAGGAACTGTCTTACAAAGATAAAACTATAGTCCCCTGACAGTTCACTTTTCCTACCTAGGTACCGAGGAGTTTGCCTTACAAAGATTAGAAACATAAATCCCCTGGCAACTCCATCTAGATTTTCTGAAGATTTAGAGACTATTTAATCCTAATATAAGGGAATGAAGATTGATCAAGGTGAACTTTTCCAAGGATTGATGCCGGAAGTTCACCAAAGTTATTATAATGACATGAAACCCTAGCCGAAGCTTGTTTTGCAAGATCATCAGCCATGCTATTTACCTCTCGGTATATGTGCACAACTTTTGATTGCGATTGTTGTAACATGCTCTGGATTCCGCGAAAATGACGATAAAGCTTTCATGGATAACTATGGCCCTTTTGTAAACATATTGTGATGTCCTGGTTATCTGTTTGAACCTCAATAAAGCGCAAACCATTACTAATGCAAGCCCTTAAACCATAATAAATTCCATGTAATTCAGCTTCCAAGCCATTGTACTTCCGATATATTTACTCTCTGCACAAATAAAAACTCCTTTTTGGCCTCTCAAGATGTATCCCCAACCAGCATCACCCGGTTGCCCCAATGCTGATCCATCCGTATTCAAAACATACTTCCCTGGATCCGGAGGTTTGACTTAACAAATATCTATTAACCCTATAATTAAAAAAGAAACGATATAAAATACCATATGAAAAATTAACCTAAAGATAAATAGTAATTTAAACAACTTAATATTAAAATCCTACCTATTCCTAAATAATGAAATTTTAACCAAGAACGTAAATGTTTTTAAATATTATAATCTAAAAGTTTCATAAATTTCTAAAATTTATAACTATTAAGAATAAAAATAGAAATATTGTATTTAAAAGAAAAGAGTAGCACGTTACCTCTTTAAAGGAATATTTTTGGACTTCCTCCTCAAGTGAAGCCCAATACCCTTTTATTACATTTGTATGATTAAAGTCTAAAGGTAGCCTCTTTTTTGTAGTGTGAGACTAGCTCTCCTTTTTAAGCATCTGCCGATATGGGACAAGAGAGTTTTACACTAATTCATTGCCAAAAATCTGTTAGGTTCATTTTTTAGAATTTTAAATTATTTGTCTCGTCTAATAATTTTATTTTATCTTGCCTTTTTTCTTCCGAGTTATCAAATTACACCCATTTTTTATTCCATAATTATTAACTAGCCCCTTACTTTCCTATCCACTTTAAATCCAAACCAATACTTTGAAATCTCCCCTAAAAATTGTATTATTTGACCACAAATATCATATATACTATATCTCAAAATGAACTATGAGGAATTCAACATACTAAACGATGATTCCCATACATTTTCTCTTTTATAATTATTTGATAAAATAATTTCTGAAATTTTTTCGAGTATTACAGATAATGTACTTGTTCTTAAACAAATGCTGTCACTACCATTTTAGGTCTCAAGTCTTATCATTATTACCTGATTTTGTAATTTTAAAAAAGATAGTGTAGCTCATATTCTTTATGCGTATAAAAAAAAGTAATGTATCTTTACTCAGTAACATTAGTAATCTAAAATAAATGTCCTAAAAAACTTCAGAAATTTTTCATTAGTCAACCGTGTGCAACTCTTCCCGAATAACAAAAGACACTGTGTACAATGTAGAATATGCTCATAATATCACCAGTCTTGTGTTTATTGAGACAGAGAAATAGATTAAGTAAATTATTACAAAAAATTATATCGATATTTTTAGTCTAAAATTATTCAAACTTAATATATCATGAAGTCGTTGACACTTAAGAATTTGTATGTTTTTGAAGATTATAATGTGACATAAAATCATTTAATCATAATGACTATAATCTATAATTTAAAAGTTAAGAGTTGATTACCATACATTGATGTAATAATTTTGATCATATGGGATTGTAATCACGTTGGTACCAATATCTAAGTTGATTAAAGTTTGAAATAAAAGCTTGAAAGTTTTTTAGACAAGGGCGCGACATAGGTTGTTCAAATCCATTGTCAACACTTTTCGTTCTGCTATATCCTACTATATCATGTATCTCATATGCCCTAACCTCCTTATGTAGGCTGCTCCAAACTAGCAACATGTTTCTGGCTCTGGCCATGGTAAATAATATGTTTAGAGTTTTTATCTCTTATATTTCAATTAATGACGTCTTTATAATGTCTATTTGCCTTGAGGTGGTGGATCTCAAAAATATTAATGCATCCAAATTTGCATTAGTATACTTTATTTTCTTTTCTTTTTTCTTTTCCCCAAGAAAGAAATCTGAACTAAGCAATAGCAATTAGTTTCTTTATCTATTCTGATATATAGATTAAAATAATAATATTAATTAACGGTTTGATTTAACTTAATTTTGTAATAATAATTTAACAAAAGTGTGTTATTTTCTTGAGAAGACAGATATATATATATTTTTTTTTCATTTCCCCCTCTATTCTCATTTGTACATTTGATGCGCCTTAATTCCGGCAGTGAGCGTACTTCCTCCTATTATGTTACTATTGCGATCTATCAAATAACTAAAAGTATTTTATTCCGTTCCTACTTAAATTTTTCTTATGTTAGTGTAATTAGGTGTACCAATTTTATCATTTATTAGTATATGAGCTTATTCAATTATAATGTATGTGCAAATTGTGTGTATTTTGTTATGATATCAACAACTATATTCTCTGTTAATTAGGAAGAATCTTTTTTATCGATTTCTTTTATAAATATGCAAACTCCCCCTGGGCAAGTTGTGGGTTTTTGGGATATAAGTAGGTAATAACATCATTAATTCTTGTATATTTGTTTGGGGGAAAATTCAAGAGCGAGAAAAAAAATGGATACGCACCATATCTACTCTTTTGTTTTGTTTTCTTTTTTGTTTTTTAATAAAAAAACACTGCTCTTTAAAAGGTATTTTGTCTTACTTCTATGCTCCACAAAAATTTGGAATAAAAGAAAGGTTGAGCCCTATGTTCAACTGTTAAAGTAGTACTAGTAGTAGACCTGTAGAAGTATTCCATTTGTGAAACACAAACTACTGTGTCTGAAAATGACTAAATGACTGAGTGAGTTCTTCTCTTCTGAGCAATGTCATGATGAGTCGCCTTTTTGCATGAGAAATAGGGTTTCTTTTGAAAAGAAAAATTAAAAAAACGCTATGATCCGATGGTTCAAACCCTGAAAACTGTCGTGTTGGGATCCTAATGAAAATCTTCTTTAATTTTTTCTGATACACTCACACTCATTTGATTTTTGGAAGGGATATTTTTTTTATATCCAATTTAGTTATGATCAACGTTCTATTGGGATATAAATTCTGGCGTCTTTTGAAACATGGAGGCAGAGTAGTGCGTGACAGTTAATTAAAACGTAAATTGATTGATAATCAGTTAATTAAATATTTCGTCAGATGAAAACCCCCAAAATGAAAGTTTCCACATGTTTCCCAAGATTTTTTTGCGATTCATTGGATTTATAAAATCTGAATTGTTTTAGGAGTTATCTAATAAGTGGTTCTGTAGTTGATTAAGTTTTTATTTAAACATTCCTAAATACGTGTAAATTCATCCTAGCATGTCAAATTCAAATTTGGCAATTATTTTTCTTAATTTTATTATTATTGTGAGTTGTATAATTCTTGGTTTTTAGTTTATTATTCAATTAAAGAAAAATTCTAGAAATTTTGTTCAAAATCAAAGTTGTATATACTTGGTTTCTGGGGCTCAAACAATAAAACTTAATTAGATTATTATATCTTTGATGATTTTTTTGTAGGATGTCTGCCATTGATAATAGTGGCTAATGCCTTTACTCTGTTTTCTATGAATTTTATTCAATATGAATGGATAGGAAAAATCCCAGTTTATTTGATCTTGTGATAGTCCATTATTTAGCTTGAACAAATTAAACATAGGATTTTACATTAGTAGCAATTGGGTATAAAGTTTATCGTGTTTCTTTTATATGGAACTTTGTTTGATTCCCATCAATACGCCATTAAATCGTTAGACTCATAAGTCTATGCATCATCCAAGTAAAAAGGGTAGGGAATGAAAATAAGTAGGCGTGTTGGTTGGGCCACTGATGATGATAGTACTCTTATCAAAAGGAAAACATCATGATGCCAGTAACTAAGGAACAAAGATAACCCGCCACAATATGCAGAGAATACACTAGTATTTCTACACCTTGATGTCCCTCAGCGGTCGCCAATAGCAACATCTCTACACCATGATGTCCTTGAGCCGTCATCATCCAG